GCTCTGGACTCCAACTGCGAATGCGGGAAACGGATGGATCCGTTGACAAAGGACTGTCATACACATGCAAATGATCAGCGAGAACACGCCACGCACACATAAAGCAACTTCTGATGCTGCACAGCAATACCTGTCAATGATCCTGCAAGCACTTCCTTCTCTGGACTCCACTTGTGCTCTGACCCAAGGACTGTCAAACTGTTAAAGTACGTACATTTCCCATCTGTATTTTCTCAAAGCTGAGGTGTTTGCAGGTTTGCTGCGAACTGGACATTGTTCAAAAACCAGTATTGATGTCCATTAATGCAAGTTCTATTCATGGAGCCAAGCTAAGATCGCGTCGCTGAAGCCACGTCACTGACGCCTCAATGCTTGGTTGTGTGGATGTGATAACAGTGGGCTGCCAGGGACAATTATTGGAAAAAACGTTGGCTGCAAAGGCATCCAAAGGGTTGTGGTTTTGCTGCATCTCCGCATCATTGGCCTTGCTCTTTGCTAGTTTCACTTTCGAAACATACTGCTGGCTGCAGCCTAGCCAGGTGAGGCAAAGTAGATAGCCCCACATTACCTGCGAAAAAGCTTTGCACTGCATGTTGATTGCAAAGGGCGCAGCAGGGTTAAAGTCAACATGTGTCATATATTCATATACAGCCTTGATCCAATCGATTCCTTTCAAAGAACTGCTTGGAATCAATTAAAGACAAATCAATTTTCCCATTTACACGGATTGCTTTGATCAAATGTTCATGGCTTTGAGCATCTGGAAGACAAATCCTCCATGGAATGGTTACCTTCTGCACCTGGCAAACTTCCAAGTAGTGACACCATGCGGCACCCAGCATCTGGCCTTGGTCCTTTAGGCAGCGCTCTTCATTCAGGGACTGGGCCGCCTGATGTTCACAAAGATCAGGTCCAAGCTGCTGTTCTGGATACAAAATGAAATGATTCATCATACAAAAAACACACATATATATAATTACAAATACAGATTAATAGAATGACAAAGATGTAGAAGCAAATGCCTGCAGCTGCACTGCTGCACGAGTGGCGAGCAAAATGGATATCGGTGGTCCAACCAGCCTGCAGCTCTCAGATGTGTGAATTTCTCACCCTGAGGCAGGCTGCCTTGAGCCGTGATGGCGCCAGGGTCAACCCAGGTGTATAGATCTTTCTTGCTGACCTCAATTGATAGCTTCCGGAATGAACCTGGACGCACAGAATGGAAGCAACAGACCGCCTCAACGCCTTCGCTGCTCCATTCGCAATCCACAATATAAATTGTTGAACTAAAAGCTGGAAAAGGCTAGGAAACTGTGTGGCAATGTCTGCTTCAAAGCGCAAAATAATCTCTTGGGTAACTGCGCTCATTGAACCTTTCTAGAATTAAAAAAGACTGGGCCTGGGCAATGTCTCAACCAAACCGCTCTTTGCAAGGCACATCCGCGACCATTCAGGAACGGCCGAAGCAAGGGCTGTGAATCCCACCCAGAGCTCCATCTTTACCCTCGAGGGGGCAGGGTTGAGAATAATGATTGAGACCTTCATGATCGAGGAGGCCTTTCGAAGCATTTTGTTTTTGTAGTGGAGGCATTCCAATGATATGCTGCTTGGACCCATCGAGGAGAAATGAGTTCACCATAGTTCACCTAATTCAGAAATTGGTTGTGGAGTCGTGGAGTGGTGAGAAACAGGCCCACATGGCACAGCTTCTGCCCACATTGGCTACGCTCACAAGAACCTGCAGCGTGAACAAAGATCCGCTGGAAAACAAAGGAGATTCCACCGGATTTGGAATGCACGTGGAAATTAGAACAAACTTTTACTGTATGCTTATTTTCGACTTACGGACCTGCTGAAGGAACAAAACTAACGGACAAATAGAATACAGTATATACATTGTCTGAAGGCCTGTAAAATGAGTTCACTGAAAGATACACTGGGTAGTAAGCCCTTCTGGCAACATCTCCCAACAAATGAGAAATATTGAGCAGCCTTCACTCCACTCCGTGCTTGCACTAAGGGCTCCACTGGCAGAACGTGGCTGCCAAGCTGCTTGCTATCTGTAGCTCTGGTAGTTCCCACCTTGGGGCACAGGACGAACATCACTGACTCACAAAGTATCAAACAGCGGCAGATTCCACACGGAAGAGTGCCAAACTTGGTGCCTTGTAGCTGTAGCTTCAATCTCAGTACCACCGTCATCACGGAACGCAAGCACGCAAAATAATCTTTTGACAGACTTGCCAAAGGTCAGCCAACAACGTTGTCGCCAGCTGGGCACTCCAGATCAGGGTGGCTGCGGTAGATGTCATGTCAACCAGTGACTATCGCCAAGCAATACCCTTACATTTGCTAGGACCTTTTTCTTTTGCAAACAAACTACCTGACAGTATCACAGTATGCTCACTACTGATCCAAAGGCCTCCAGAATCTCAGCGGTAGTATTGGTCGTATCATCCGCAGGCGGGCTAAGAATACCCATCTGTGTCAGCACATCGGTAGTCAAAGAGTAGTTGCCTCAGTGCGATTGCATGTCCCATAAGTCCCATGGCCCATACCTGCCAACTCTTGGTACCCCTCCAATTTACCCGGTGGCCTTAACAGCCTAGGCTGCCTGTTGAAGGGGTCAAAACAAAAAACGACTTCCCACTGTGACTGTTCGCTTGCCAAACTCCAAACATTGATGATTCCCCGCCGCATTTGCTCAGGTCTTCAACTAAAGAGAGCTCGTTTTTTCAACACTGAAATGCACCAAGTGTCTTAACATCCAGCAACTGGTGCCGATGGCCAAGATTATTGCCAATCCTGGGATTCAAAAGCTGTCAAATATGAACGGGCACTGTTGCTTTACACTGATTGTTTCACAAGAACATGTCCAATGCTAGCCAAGAATCCACCTCTACTGCCACAAACCTTGGTGCATTTTTCATGGTTTGGACATGTTTGGAACGCATTCCGAGGATATCCAACAGCCCCTGCATGCCAAGCACACATTCTACATACTGATACCTTCATCATGATTCATCATCCTCTTAAAACCTCCAGCTCTAGCAGTTTGGCGACAATCCCAAGCCCAAGCATTTGCACTGTAGGCGTGTTGCGAGTTCTGGAAAATTGATAAATCCTAATATAGCCTATATATATATAACTATATAGCTTAGCCACCGCCACAAATTCGCGTTGGTTTCAATGAGTAATTATGCAAAAACCTGGAGATTGTTGGGCGACGCCCCCGCGTCCGTTGCCGTTCAATCATTTGTCGGTTGCTCATAGGTGCCAGGCACCGTGAGCTATGCTGCCAAAGGGCCACACGAGTATTCCAGCCTCGTGTCGCACGAACTCGCACGAAGAGAAGTGGCGGGAATACCATGGCCATCCTCGGATCAAACAGCTTCTTTGGACATGTGGAGCAGATTAACATTTGGGGGGTAGAGGTCTTGATGTTGAGTTCTGCGAAGAAAAGGATGCAATTTGCAATACCAGTAGGATAGCATCCCACTTGCAGTCCAGCAGCAAAGTGGCACAAAAGCCTCCACCGAATCGCAACACAAGGGTCAAACCTTCCGCGAAAGTCAGTGCTGTCCAAGGCAAGCAACGCAAATCAAACCATCTGAAGTGTACACTTGTTCAATCAGTATGTTCTTTTTCAGTGTGGTAAAGTCTTGGTACAGTAGTTTGGTCTTGTTCCTCTACCTGTTGAATTGCACACACTCATAAATAGTCATGTAAAAGTTGCAGGAGCTCTCTACCTGCACAACTTGCACTTGTGGCAGTGGTGAGCACCAACGACAAATGTGAATGGCTACGGCTGCACGAAGTGCGAAGGCAAGATTCCGTGTCCTGTGTATATGTAGCTTAAATGAAACATGACATGCACGAACCGTAACCAAAGGAGGATACATCCGAGTCAGTGCCAAACCTACAAGTCTTGGTTGGACCCACACCTTGTCTCGAGACATCCCCAATGTCCAAACATTTCACGTGTCCCAGTCCCAGTGCCTCCTAACTTTATAGCCGCCATGGCACACCTCTGCATCAGCTCAGACTGATTGCGTGTGAAGCAATCACGCAGTGATCACACTTGCATGGACACAAGTCACAAGTCACCAGGCTCACGGGAGAAAGAACACCCATGAATACTTCAGGCCTACTGCCATAATTACATTGTCATAGATGATTTGGTGGTGGGCCGAGTGGTCTTTGGGATGCTTTTGACATTCGAACATGTTAAGACTCAAGAGCGCCCTTGCTGTCAGAACTTCAGGACTCGTCTCCAGACCTGCTGCGTTCGCAGTTCACACCAACATGTGGAGATTTCTACTCCCAATACACCCATACGCGGATCGGCACTTGCTGGAGCTAAGTGGTTGCCATGCTCAAACAACACATCAGACAACATCGAGTCATAGCATTGTCATGCATTGTCCAACATATAGGTTCCTCAAAAACCTTCCGCTGGTCTTTTGCCTTCCTTGCAAGCTCTTTGAATCTGAACCTACCGTAGTATGTGGATAGTCTTTGTTGGTTGTCGTCTTGTGGTTTTCGTTTGGGCTGTTGTAGCAAAAGCCCACCAAAAGTGGAGAAAGCAGCATTGATGTTCTATTTTCATTGGGCCATTAGCATCTTCGAGATCTGTCCGCAAAACAGCCAGTGTTTTGTCCCACCGCGTGTTACCAACTTGTTCCAATCTAAGTTTAGCACGCTGGGCACCGAAGTATCTGGCTCGTGATGAGGCTCTGGGCATCTCTTCTAAAGTTCGAGCGGCCGGCTCACACATGAAAAGTAGAATTGGCCGATCGCTTTCTGGTGCATTTTCACAATTCTTCAGCACACCTTCGCGGTTCTTTGACATTTTTCGTCAATGGTTTAAGGGATTTCTCCACATTCATTGTCTTGCATTGAGATGACACCGCGGTCATCATCTAGGATGGAAAGACTCTCAAGAGCTTTGCCGGGAAGAGGCCAGGACTTGCTATCACCTACGCCTACTCCCACCTCCAAACCACATGGCATCTCTTTATGTAGACAAAACATGACAACACTCTGTGAATAGCTATGTATGAATTGATGACTTATACAATATACAATATAGTATCCATATCCTTTAAACACAAGATAAAACATGTCTGGGTTTCCCTTCCACAACCTTTCCACCGTTCACGCCACGCATCTACCGTGACTGCGTGAGAATCACACTTGATTTACAGCTGACCTATTTTCTTTTTTACACGGAGAGCCACAAGCAAATGGCAAAAAACACTATTTTGTTTGGACAACGCTCTTGTGCCGATCAGCCGTAAATGGGATGAGGAAGAGAGACAAACTTGCTGCTGGGATGAGGAAGCCACGTCCCTTATATTGGTACCCGTGGAAAGAGCCAGCCGCATCCACTGCAAACCAATGGTTCAGTGGCGAATGTGCCCGCAAATGGGTTGAGGGAGCTTGTGTGAGTGTTCCTATATGTACACCACGAGTCAATTATAAACCAATAAATATCCAGGCTACCAAAGCCATGCAGTAATAAACTACTGTCAATAAAAATTTGATTTTTCAGTAGGTTGGACCAGGTTGGACATAGAGAGCGGGTTAATTATAAAGCCAATGGTGTGTTTAATACAAATACAAACTAAATAGTGTCTGTTGTAAACTAAATACTATAAATACTGTCAATACAAGTGTAAACTTGACTTGCTCCTCTACAGAAATTAACCTGATGTTCTAGTGTGTTGCAGTAATAAACGTCAATTTCTGCTCTACAATAACGAACCATAATAAACTTTGGAGTTTATGTTACTTATTTTTTTTATAAAGACAATCAAACTCACATCTTCTAGCCAATCTAAACACTTACATATATATTATATATATATGTCAAATTCATTCAAATTCTTCATTACACTCCCTTTACAATACAACCCACAATTTGGCAAAGGGTACCCCTTACGAGTGCCAATAACATACAATTATAAACTACTGCCAATAAAACTCCTTTCAGTTTCAGCTGTCTCTTAGGTGGTAATGATAAACCGGACTCTCTCCTGTGTAAAAATTAGCCTCTTTCCAGATTGAATTTGGCTTGCACGAAGTCTTACACAGCCCATATGGGACTGCAGTTTTAGCTTACGCCCAAGAGATGCTTTCGCCACTGCGTACGCAATCTTATGCAACCAGGTTTTGCTTTTGTGCCCCGATATGACACCACATCATAACGTCGGGCTTACGCCAATGCTTACTTAGTGCTGAAGCGACCGCAGCTTTATCTTGCGGGCAGAATCGTGCAAAGGGGGTATCGAATGGACCAAGCTGCAGCAGCAAAGTGCAGTTCAAGGACATGGTCACAGCCTGAGGCACAACAGAAGAATTAGCGCGCGCTGTGGCAAACGAATCCACAGTATTAATGATCCAGTCAATGCCAAAAGACAACTCAGTTTCTTCCAAAACCTCCCTGTTTGTGTGGCGCTGTCATTTGTGTTTTGCAACATTGTGGTGAAATAAGCAAGTTGCAACCGTGCAGCTACAAAGGTCGAGTAAGGTGCTTCTCGTTCAATCTCATCCTTTCCAAGGCATGCACTCATCAAGACATTCCTTGGAGTTTCCACAAGTCCAGGGCATGGCCCAATCGGCTAAAACAGCGAACATCATTGGAATAGAACGTTGCACATCGTTGCACATTGCTTTATCAAATCAAGACAAACGCAAGCATGTCATTTCAAGACTCCGTATAGGAAACTGCATGAAGATATAGGAGATGAAAACCTGAGCCGCCAGTTGAAATGTGCATTTGGGAGGAAGGATTGACTGACAAACAATGTGAGGCTATTGTCAAGAAGCCAGTTGTCTGGAAAGCTTCATTCGTGAATGAAGTCATACATGAAGGCTGATTGGGCAGCACTCAACTTAAAGCAGCAAGAGTGCTTTTCTGTTTTGGACAAAGACTAGGCCCTAGGCAGTTTGAGAACACATGAAGTAATTATATAGCCATCATGAGCCTATCAACATGGCAAAAAGAAATACAAATCATACCCGGCACCAAATGTATGTTCACCTGAGTAGGCCCAGGTGTGCGCGACACAGGGTTGCCTGGAAGTCATGTCAGTTTGTGGTTAGAACAAAAGAAAACTTAATGCTGCTAAGCCACGAGAAGAAAGCCACACCTCAAGTGCCACAACCACACCCAATAGTTATCGTAGCAGCTAGGCTGTTAAGTCGGGTAGCTCCAAGATGATTTGCCTACAAAGGTCCGAAAATTCCGCACAAACTCCATCCGGATTCACGTGTTGGCACATGTCCAAACTAAATGCAAACAAGCAGGCCATATTGCCACTTGATCAATCGGTCTTTGACCTGCCAGGACCACAAATCTTCGTTCGGGCCACACTTGATTGATTGTAGGGGAGACAATCATAGCCGGGCGTTGCTGTAGCGTTGCTGTACATCTTCTCACTTCGAATGGCCAGCTGAAACGATCTTTATCAGTGCGTCAAACACTTCATGAATACAATCCAGCTGTCACTTTTCATTTCTGAATCGTGGCTCAAAACTGAATACCTTTGCATTCCAATTTCACTGACATGTCCACTAATTGGTTGCAGCAAAAAGCAAGACATGGCCGCTGGCAAAGGGTTATTGTGAAGAGATGTGAAGAGCGCCTATTGTCGTCAAGGCATTGTCGGTGCAGAAGTTTGTGAAGCGCATATACACTGAATGACCAAAGACTACTGAGATGGCCTTAGCCATGCAATACCCAGGTGCCACTCGTGCCCCACTCTTGCTAGCTGTTCTTCATGTTGTATACATTCCACTTCTAGCACAATCTTCTGCATAGCTTAAGTATCACCAGGCTAACATGCCAGCTTTGTCAGTGCGTCAGGAAGCATAGAGAACCACATAGACGAAGCCAGTGATTTTCCTGACATTCTCCCAGGAGTCGTTCTCCAAGGAAGCCTAGTGTGGAAGAAAGACTCGGAGCTTGAACTTGTGCGGTGAACCCTCTAAAAGTCCAACACATATGCACGCACAAACAGGCACCTCCCACTAATGGAACAGCTGTTGCTTCAAGAACTCCTACTCCCTATCAAATAGAGAATCTATGTACTGTAATGTTGAATCCAAATTAGTAAAATGGGACGGAATAAAAAAAGTGTGCGCCAAATTATTCACACACCCTGATTAGTTTGTGGGTCGGAATTAAAAAACTATTTCAGTCTTTTTAAAATAGGGTTTGTGTGTGTTTCCATTGTTCTGCTTTGGCTCACCCTTGTGTGTGGTTTGTCCAGCCCAGGGTAAGTGAATAAAACGAATTGTTTAGGGGGTGGGATTAATGCGCAATCTTGGGGCCCTAGGGAAAAAATACAACTTTACTAGACTCTATTTTTGTTCTATATTGTTCTGCTACTGCAGCCCTTTCTAACCTTGTTTATCTCTTCTACGACTACTACCACTACCACTACCACTACCAC